CATCCTCTAAGAGATGATTCACGAGAAAAAGTTAAGGAAAAGGTAAATGATGTAGTGAGGCCTCAGCTTGATAGAGAAGTGATTTGTTATAGATGTAATGAGAGAGGCCACATGGCTCATGATTGCCCTAACAAGAGGGTAGCTAAGATAACAAAACAATCTCAAAAATTTGCTTCTTGTCTTGAAAATAAGTCCGAGGATGAGGTATGTGACCATTTTGAAACCCCCAATGAACATGTTGAGGGAGGACCATTCTTTCCTTTAGATTTTGATTCTGAATATGCTAATAGCGAGTCTAGTCATACTCTTGTTGTTAATGAGGTTTTGAATGTTCACCCTTTAAAAGAAGATGAGTCTCAAAGAGAAAATATATTTTTTGCTAAAGGTTCAATTAGAGGGAATGTGTGTGCTATGGTAATAGATTCTAGAAGTTGCACCAATGTTGCTAGTGCAGTTATGGTTAAATTTCTTCAGTTACCTTTGCTTGATCACCTGAATCCTTATCATTTGCAATTGTTAACCGATGTAGGAGAAGTTAGAGTAACGAAACAGGCTCTTATTCCTTTATCTATTAACCGTTACTATGATGAAATCTTGTGTGATACTATCCCAATACAGGTTGATCATATCTTGTTAGGTAGACCATGGCAATTTGACAGAAAAATAAGTTTTGATGGAATGAGGAACACTTATGTGTTTCACATGAATAGAATTACTTATGTCTTGCCTCCTTTGTCTCCTAAACAATTAGAAGAAATTCAATTGAGGTTGATGCAAGCTCTCGAACCAGCCTCAAAGAAAGAAGAAATCAAAGAGAGAAAAGTGGAAGCTCCATGTTTGGAATTGCAATCACCACTCCAATCCTCTAACTCAGTTTGTAGCCAAACGAAGGGACCACAATCAGTGATACAGTGGAAAGGACCAACCCAAGGTGTCAAAGTGGAGCCTCTCTTGGTAACTAAAAAGGATAGTAAGTAAGAAAAAAAAAAAAAAAGAAGGGGAGTCACTCTCTACTCACATTTATTTCAAAAGCATGCATTAAAATTCTCTAGATTTGTTTGCCATGTTTCTATCTGTGACAACCCAAAATTAATTTTATAAATTCGGTTTTAAGAAATTCCGAAATAGCCATTTTTCACTCTGTAAAAATTTTTGCGATGAAATCGATGTTGAATAAAATATTTTGAGCCATTTTTAAGTAAATTCAACACCGGGACTTATTTTAAATCTAAAATCCTAGATTTTCGGGTACATTGCATACCGAATTTTCGATCAAAAAGTCAATCTGAGTGAAACCGGAGAGGGACCTGTGAAACCTGAAACAAGTGTTTTAATTAGAACTATCTTTTAGAAAATCTATTTTTGACCCCAAGTTATTCAAAAATCTTTTTAGACTATGGTTCATGATGCAATGTGAACCCTACAATTTTATTTTACAATACTACCCCCAAAACCCTAACTATAAAAGAAAGCATTTTCCCTTGTTCCACTATTCACTCGTTAGAAATTTCAGCAACACTCATCCATCATCTTTCTCTCGTGTATCTCTCCCTCTCCATCATCTTCTTCATTTTAGAGCTTCTTCTAGCAAAGTCTAGGTTCAAGACTTAAGATTCAAGCTTGGGTAAGCTTCTCTCTTCTTCCTCCCTTTTCTATTCCTCTTAGCTTGTCTTTGAGATAGATTATCTAAGTTTAGATGTGTTTTTGGGTATTGTGTTGGTTGTTGCTTGAGAAATGGAGATGGTAAAGAAGAAGACCTAGCTTGAGGTTGGAGATGGAAGGATTCTTGAGGTTGAAGCTTGAGGTATAACCCATGGATTCCCAAATCTAGTATTTTGCCCTAAGTTATGTGATTTAGTTGTTCAAGTATGTATATATATGTATTTTGGGTGTTTAGAATGATGAAATGTAAGTGATTTGTTGTTATCTTGCTATGTGATTTTGGAGAATTTGATTTTGCTGTGCTGAGTAGAAGAAGACAGTAGACAGAAGCTCTCCACTGCTAGTAACGGACCTTAGTAATGGAACTACACGAGTTTTGTTACCAAGAATTGTTGTAGCTCATTGGTCTGAGTACAAGTGAGCAAATTGTTATACTTAGGATCAATTCTTACCTCTAGTGTTTTTGTTAGTTTTAATTTTGGTGGTTGTTATGCTTTGGTAAAATTGTTTAACAGGGATTAGAACCCCTAACCTCTTGTTTATTTAATTAATAATTAAAGTCACATCTACTTGAGCAACATCAACCTTTAAGAAATTATCTTGGAGTATATATTATATTATTTAGACTTGAAGGGTTATTTATACTTAAAAGTATTTTGATAGAAAATCATAAATATGTTGAGAAGAGTTTGAACTACCAAAAGCTATGATTTGCCAAGAAAGCTCTATTTCTAGAATTATATATATGGGCATATATGCTTTGGGAAATGTTATACTTGATTTTGAGAATATGTACATATATAATTATGTTTGAGGTATAAATGTATATATTTGATCATGTAGATACTTGAAGCTTATTCTATCTTTTCACTAAAATTACTTAGCTATTAACACGATATATTTTGGGAAATACTATGTATCCCTAGAAAGAGTTACCTAAGAACTTTTGATCTATAAAGTGTATAACCCCATGGACTCCCAACTTAGTTTTGGCTCTGTGAAGCCTATGTGAAATAGCTAGAAATGAGTAGAAATGCTAGAATGTTGGGTGTTTGAGCTATTGGATGTCTTGTTGATGTTGTATGATGTGTTGTTGATTTGGAGGTAGTTTATTGTTTGGTTTTGAATTGCGGGTGAAGAAGAAGCAACGGGTGCACCACTCAGTGTGCACCAGTGAGAGTCACGGGCCTAGCCAATGCCCACGAGGGGAGCCGTTGGCTAGAGCCGTGGCTAGACGGCCCTAGGGCACGACCCTAGGCAAGGGCCGTGGCCCTAGGCCACCGCCGGACGGCTCCAGGTGGCGGAGCTTCCCTAGCCCCCGCTACAGGGCGTGGACAGCTGGTGGCTGCGTATTTCACAGAAAGCTGTGGCTGTACGGCTGTCCTCAAACATGAGGTCCAAATCTGGAATGAGGGCGGCGGCCATGATTGTCTGGGGACGGCCATAGCCGTTTGGAACGAGGGCGGCGGGCGCGGCGGCCATGGCCGCGGCCCTCGTTCCAGGCCGTTTAAGGTCCAGATCTGGACCTCATGTTTGACAGTCGTGATTGTCCGGCTGTCCTCACCGGACAGACACAGCTGTCTGTGAAATATGCAGCAACCAGCTGTCCGACGCGATATCCATACTTCATTATTCTTTAATATATATAGAGATAGAAATAGGGATAGAGCTATAATAATAAAATATAATTTATAAAATATAAATACACATACTTCAAAAAAATATGTATAAATACATCTACTCACAATTAATCCATTCATACTTGCTAATCTTGTTTCTATCAAATGCATTCACACTTTGGAAAGAAAATTTTGTGGCTAGATTCTGCTTTATTATATATATATATATATATATATATATATATATATATATATATATATATATATATATATATATATATATATATCAATAATTGAATAGACAACCTGTTATCAACCTGCAAAAAAAGTCAATTGAACAAATTTAGCTGGTAGATAGACCTATTTGACATTTAATTTAGTTCGTGTTGAAAATTAAGCACTTCGCAATAGTAGATTAACCTATTTGACACTTCTGCCAAATTTCCAACATTTACTATCGAATAAGTCATGCAATATTATTAAATTTTAAACATTTACAATTGAATCAAGTCATAATCATTAAATTTTATAACATTTACTCATTGAATTCGATTGCAATTTGTTGAACGCGAAACATACATTAAATACTTGATTTTATGTGTCAGGTCTCGTTTAAAATAATGAGTCTTTCTCATTCCTCATTTGATACTCAACCAATGTGAATCATAATTAGAGATATTTGCTAGAATTCAATGGGAATGGGACCCATAAGTACAAGAATGAGAGTTGCGCTTCCTACGTTTCTAAAAAACTCTTGCAGAATCAAGAATGCTGACCCATAAGTAAAACAGACACAATCATAAATTCAAAACATAATTGAGAGATATGTCATCATCTACACAAACGAGTGTCGCTTAAAAAGACTACCACATAAATATGATAACAAGCATAACTACTAATGGCTGCATTTCTTCCTCCTAAGAAACTCCCCATATTTTTTCACTATAAATACCTCTCCTCTTCCCACCATTCCATCCACTTCAATTCACAACTTAAACCCTACTTATTACGTAAATCAGTCTGATATCGTTTATAGGTTTTGTATTTAGTTTTTAAGAATGAAGGCAAAAGTCGTTGTAGTATAGTGGTGAGTATTCCCGCCTGTCACCCGGGTGACCCGGGTTCGATCCCCGGCAACGGCGATTTTTAGTGCTTTCATTTTTTGTTTTGCGTTTAAGGATGAACGAAAATATAGACTAAAACGCTAATCCGACCTGCCGGATTCGAACCAGCGACCTAAGGATTACGGCAACCACTACAGTCCTCCGCTCTACCAACTGTGCTAAGGTAGGATTTGTGCGAAACTATCGAACTTGTTACTATTTAACTTTTGATCGTAAGATTTTCGACCTTAAAGTTGCATTAAGAGTTCGCTGAACATCAAAGGCATAAACCAAAGGAGACAAGCAAATGGGATGCTGTTTCTGTGTGTAATGCACCAACATTATATAATCAAGCTGAAACTTCACTATATGGGAAAATCAATCCTCTCAAATCATCAACCACATACTCACATACCATAACTAAGAAACTCAAAACATTGCTGATATATATATAAAATGATGGATTATATTGACTCGGGTAGCTTGATTCAAATAACCTAATAATTAAGAAATAATGTTATCTCCCTTCCAGAAAAGGAGAATCCTCAATACTCGAAAACAACTCATTTAGGTCTTAAAATTATCAATCATGTGTAAATCGAAACATTAGTCGTACGTGAGAATCCAACGATAAGCAAACTAATACTTTCTTCCACATCAATTAGGCCCTGTTTGGTTCGCGGAAAATATTTGAGAGGAAATGGAATTGAAATTCAATAGAAACGAAATTACTGGAAAAATTAATTACATTATTTGGTTAGTAGAAAATAAATTACTGGGAATATGGATTCTGTTGTTTGGTTGAGTTTGAAATTGTAAAGAATAATGAGTATAAAGACAACTATACCCCTACATAATAATAACAACAATAAAAACATTTTTCATGAAAAACAAAATACCAAAAGGGACCATGGAAAATGTTTTCTTGTTTTCCATGAACCAAACAAAGAAAAATCTAGTTTTCCTCAAATTCAAAAAAAACATTTTCACATGAACCAAACATGGCCTATAAATATTTACATATTATGTACACAAATAGTACCACACACACTCTCTCTGTACTTCACAATCAAAAATCAAGTTTCAAAGATAAATAAGCTAAATATTGACTTTTGAAATCTCTTCTCTATATATAATATAGCAGAATCAAAGTGAAAAAGTTTTCCCTCCATTTGTTGCATTTGAAAGTTATGAAATATCAAGGGTTTAAGAACTTCATAATCATCATAAATCTTTATATATATATATATATATATATATATATATATATATATATATATATATATATTGGCATTATAAAAATAAAAAATAAATCAATTCATAATAAAAAATAAAAATTTTAATATAACAAATGTTGGGCCAATATATAATTACATTTTTTAAAAATTTATGAGCCAAACATAATCGCACTCACATGCGAATGCTTCGCCCAGGCGCGAAATAGGAATGTATTCTGTTTGTGTCTATGTGTCAGATCATTAATAGATTTCCCGCCTAAGTGTGAATGCATATTAATAGATTTGTAAGATCATTATTTTTTTTGGTGTGTAAATCACGAGGTGGTCCGGGTCTTTCTCTGTCCGTTTAACTTTGTAAGATCATTATTACAAATGAGATTAGCAATATGAATGCATTTTTTTTGTTATATATTGTCTTAACATTTAAATATTACAATGTATAACAATACTTACATTTTTAATAAAATTAATTATGCTTTGTATCATAACATTACAACAATACTTATAAATTTTTGTCCGTGTATCACACGGGGAAATACTAGTAAAATTAAATAAGAAAAAATTAATATGCTGTATTCGCCAAATCATAAATTGATTATTTTGTGAACAGAAAGTGCAGGGTGCTTAACATTTTCTTTTGATATTTCCATTATCAAAATAATAACATGTGAATTGAAACACAAACGATGGCTGCCAATTCTTGGTCTAGTTACCGTATTATTTTATATGCATCTTCTTGAACCCATGACCTATTCATTTTGATATAGTTTTAATACTAAATTTAAAAAGTGTTTTATTTTAATTAAAAGACAGTAAATTAATAGTTGAATTATATATTATGTATGAAAATTCATATTCTCGTATGAATTGAAACAGATGACTCCAAACTCACTGCCAGGAATATAATAGGAGACTACAGTAGAGTCCTTGTATCTAATCCAGAACCATAAAGTGCAAAAACATGCAGAAAAGATGAATGAGACACGAGATGTTAAGGGCACAAGCTCAAATCAAGATCAATTTACTTAACAATATTAAGTACAATGACGTAAAAACTTATACAACTAGATCACTTCTTCAGTATCCATTGAAGTTGTTCGATTAGAAGCATTGATAGAAACTGATGAACACGACTCCCTCGTGCCATAGGACCCCTCCTGTCTTGATCTCGTTGCTTTAAACTCTTGTCTGGACAATTAGAACACACATCTTCCTCAAGATTAGACTGAACTCCCTTCACTACCTTTCTGCACTAGCCCTCTTGACAGCTATCCCACCCAAAAGAGGTGCCTACAATCCAGCGAGGGGATTAGTCACTGTGTCCGGCGGTGGAAACCCTGAATATATCCAAAAAAAAAAAAATACTTCTAAAACCCAACACAAACAGGGTAACCCTAACACATACAACTATACAAGGTAGCTTCTTTCTATATACAAGATGAGCATACTAACCCTAGAAGGAAAGAACTACACAAGGAAATAAAAAATATATAGAAATGGCAACAAAATATTTTGACAATAATTCCAGCCAATAATAAAACTAACAATCTCCCTCTTTAGCTATTTATTGGCAAAATATGATAACAATTACCCCGATCCCCCTATTTGCCACACAAAAAGGTCAAAGACAAACACAAACAATCCAAGCCAAACCCGTAGCATACAAGCGTATACAAATCCAAAAGAACCATGGATAAGTCACATACAACTAAAGCACAAGTATATATAGACACCGAACAAAACTGCAGTCAGCTACAATCACTTAGGACTTTAATAGCTTGTAATGGGGCCAGGGGACAAAGGCTATTAAAAAAAGGTATGGAGATAACGAAATAATGAAACCTAGTGACAACACATCATATCCACAAGAGTACCGAGATACAAGCCATGAGCTATTAGGGACTGTTTCCCCATAGTGCAGAACTTCTTGGAAGTTAAATTAACCTTGCAGGGACTAAACTTTTAAAAGTGAAACAAATCAAGAACAAAAAATATCAGGCGCGCACACACATATATCAAAAGTATGTCATCATAAAATAATACTGTATAAAATTTAATCACCTGAATCAATTTCCTAGCCCTAAAATTTTTAATCATTAGATCACACCCTGAAAACAAATGTAAGTATTAGTTAGTATGCAGGCAGATATAAACAATCTAGAACAGAGCAACAAACTGGATAATCATCTTCAAACAATCAATAGCAAACATTAATTATAATATTAATCCTTATAGCAACTTTAATAATACAAAAGTTTTTTTTGTTTGTTTTTTTTTTTTTTTTTTGTGATTTTTGTAATGTCATCAAATAAGATAGAGAAAGAAGATAGTAATAAAAGAAATATAAATACTGTAAAATAAATAAATAAATAAATAAGGAATCGCTTACCGGCTATTACGTGCTTAATTTCCACCACAAACTAAATTAAAGTGTAATCAATTACACTTACCAGTTAAATTTGTCAGATTAACTTTTTTTGCAGTTCGCTAACAAGTTGCCTATTCAATTATTAAAAAAAATAATAATAAAAAAAAAAATAAATGAATTTCAGCCGTGGCTCACCTTCATGTCTGAGAAGACCCACTACCGGGAGCTGCCAAGTTGACACCGCTGGAGGAGATGAGCCCAAGTCTGCCGCCGATCTGCTGCCTTTCTACGATATAATGAAATGTGGTACCTCATGGTTGCAAATGTATCATTAATCTCCAGAAACTAACTATGAAGATTAGAGAAACAGTAAAATTTACCAGAACCCTGCATACGGCCATATCTATTTGAGGTTACTCTAGTGCTTAGAGCATGTATGATTACTTGGACATGAAACTAAACAGAGTGACAGATAGATATATATAAATAAGTTATAACACTCGCATTCTCATCTGCGTTTACAACCATCAATGCTACTTGAGGGTAATCCAATATGGAAGATAATACAGGCCATATTTCATTATATCGTAGAAAGGCAGCAGATCAGCGGCGGACTAGGGCTCATCTCCTCCGGCGGTGTCAACTTGGCAGCTCAGGCAGTGGTTCATCTCAGACATGAAGGTGAGCCACGGCTGAAATTCTTTTTTTATTTTTTTAAAATTTTATTTTTTAATAATTTAACAAGCAACCTGTTAGCAACCTAAAAAAAAAAAAAAGAACAAATTTAGAAAGTGTGGCTGATTAGACTTTAATTTAGTTCGTGGTAAAAATTGAGCACTTCGCAGTTGGCCTATTTGACACTTTTGTCAATAATAAATAAATCTCAATGTATAGGAACATAGGTAAGCTTAATTAACCCGGATCGGATCGGATAACAGAATTGAAACGATTTGATGATTAACTTAAAGAGGTCGGCCATAGATTAACTTACGAATGTAGGGGGCCATAGAAGTTCGTGGTAAAAATTGTTTCAGCAAGTCTCTCCGTGCAAATTCTGTTAACTGGACGTTCATTTCTTCCTCAGTTGCAGATACTGTTGGATCGGATGTTGTTGCGCCATCATCATGGACAACCTTTGGTTGTCAGAATGGACTTCGACTATTAAGGAAACTAAGGACAAGGAATCACATGGGATGTGGGATATTAAGGAGAGACTGCAAATTGACTGTGTGCACAACCGCACAGTCAGGGAATTGATGAGAGGATTGAGGAATCAGTTAACTGATAACTGGTCTAGGTGTTCAAGATTTGGTTCCAATGAGCTTGGGTTTATCTCACAGCCTTTCAAGATACAAACTGAAATTTAGCCCTGACAAGGTGGACACAATGATTGTCCAGGCCATCAACTTGTTGGGTGATCTTGATAAGGAGCTAAACACTTATGCTCTGAGCGTTCGAGAGTGGTATGGTTGGCATTTCCCTGAGCTTGCAAAGATTGTAGAAGACAATATTCAGTATGCCAAAACTACAGTGAAGTTGATATTACATGGAGACTAGGATAATTTTTTGTCTTTAAAAAAAGAGAATATGGGGTCTGGCAGAACATTAGTAAAATTATCAGCAAGTTGATATTTGGTTGAAATAAAATTTACTTGAATATTTCTAGAAACACCTCTATTTCTAACAAAATGATAATCGATCTTCACATGTTTAGTGCATGCTGAACATGGAAAATTGAATTTGCGCACATATATGTAGAACCAAAATTTTGACACTACAACTTAGGAACATGGATATTTGAAACATTGATCTCGCGAAACAATGATAGAATCAAGATTTCCTCAGCACTAGAGCCTTATACTCAACATAAGTGGAAGATATAACAACAGTTCTTTGTTTTTTAAAAACCCTAAATACAAGATTGGACCCAAGAAACTGTTGAAGTAAAGAAAGAAGTCATCAATTTTTTATTGAGCTTGGATCATCAGCACAAGACATCAAGCAGCAGGCAGTAGCTTTA